GCGTGCCCATCAGCCACACCGGGAGGCAGAGGCCCGGTCTGTGTTTGCCTGCCGGCCTGCCTAGCAGCGAATAGCTGTGAATGCTGGCCCGGTGCAGCTGCCTGCCCGCCTGCCGGCTGGTCCACCCGCGGCCGCCGCCCGCCGCCGCCCCGCCCTCCTGGCTGGCCGCGGTGCAGTGCGCCGAGAAGCAGTGCGCGGCGATGAAGGCGCGGTACGGCCTGGCGCCGCACCTCAACCACGCCCAGCTCTTCTCCCACAAATACCAGGTTGAGGTGGACGGCAACGCGGCCCCCTCCTCCCTCCTCCCAGCCCTCTGCTCTGGCACCCTCACCCTGTCTGCCTCCCTGATGCGGGAATGGTACTACACGCGCATGGTACCGTACCGCCACTTTGTGCCCGTCAAGTAAGCGGCGCGCGCGGCGAGGGTGGCCCCATGTGTGTGTGCTCGTGTGTGTGTGGAGGGTGGCGGTCCTCGGCACCTGGCGGCTGCTGGGCGTGGCGGCTCGGCGGCGTGCTGGCGCCGTGCATTCTCCTTCCGACCGGCCCGCTGCCTGCTTGCGCGCTTGCTCCTGCTGCTGCCCGTGCCCCCTGCCTGCTTGCTCCCGCCTGCAGCCCCGACTATTCGGACCTGATCGACCGGATCCAGTGGGCCCGCCAGAACGACGCTGCGGCCAAGGGCATGGCGGCTTCGGCAGCACGGCTGGTGAACGAGCGGCTGCGGCGGGCCGACTGGTCCTGCTACCTGTACCGCCTGCTGCTGGAGTACGGGGCGCTGTACCGCGGGGAGGTCCCCGGCGGCCTGCGCGTGCCCGACCCGCCCTCCCCACCGCCGCCGGCGGTGGACCGCGACGGCAACCCTTTGCCCAACTTTTTCGGGTGGTGACGCGGGGCCGCTCGGCGTCTGTGCCAATTCTCTGGTGGTGCCTGCCAGTGCTCTGGCGCTGCCTGCCGCCTTACCCCCCCTTGTGCGTGTGTAAGCGCTGACAGCCTTCCAGCCTGGCTGACACGGGCGTGTGAGGTAGGGGCGGGGAGGCGCGGGCCGCTGGCCGGAGGAGGCGCGGCGGAGGGAGCTGGCGCCATGGCTGCCCAGTCACGGGGATCAGCAGGTGGCCGCCCACCCGCCTGTTAGCAGCTGCTCAGCTGCATCCCTCCCTCGCCGAGTGTCACCGAGCGAACATCAGGCATAATTTCATGCTGGGAAGCGGGAAAGGATGATCTCTTCAAAGGCGGTTGGCCAGCAAGCACATTCAGCCTTGGGAAAGCATAGGTATGCAGCAGCCGGCTGGGAGCGCTGCTGCAGCCGCTCCCAAGGGCCGTCCGGGCCGCTGGCGCTGTCGCCAGGGCTGCCGCCGGGGCCTTGGCCGCCCTGCTCAGCGCCTGCTGTCGGCGCCGCCGGCGCCTGCCGCCCTGACCGCCTTGATGCCGTGCTCACCGCTGCGCAGCGGCGGCGTGGCCTTGGCGGGCGAGCCGCCCGCGCTGCCCCGCCCGCCCTTGGCCGCGGCCCGCGCCGCGGCTTCCGCCGACGGCTTGCGGGGGCTGGCGCCGCCAAACAGGTTGGCGCGGCCGGCGGCGGCGGCGCCGGCTATGCGGCCCCGCCTGAACAGCGCATCCTGAGCCTCCCACCACCGCCCGAGCAGCACGCGCCTGCATGCGATAGGATGGGGTGATGGGCCCCGGGTGGCGCGACGTGCGTGCTCTCCCCCCACCCCCCACCCACCTGTGTGCCTTGTAGAAGTGCACCAGCATGCGGACCTGCCCCCACCGCCGCGCCGCGTGGCGCTCCAGGAAGCCGCCGGCGGGCTGCTGCTGGCGCCCGGGCGCGGCCCCCGCCCGTGCCGCCGCCGCCGCCAGCAGCACCTCCCGTAGCCCGCCGTCCATGCTGCGGGACACAGAGGGGTGCAGCACGGGCAGGGTAGGGTGTCCACGCCTGCAGCGCCACAGGCTGACGCGCCACAGGCATGCGGACACAGCAAACCGGCGCACTCGCGAGGCAGGCTGTCCCGGGGCGACATCTTGCATGGCAGCGGGCGGGCGCGGGGAGGCGGGCGGGCACACCTCTGGTCCTGGCGCCGCAGCGTCACCACCACCACACCGAGCTCGCCGTGCACGTCGCTCCTGACCAGCTGCCGGGGCTGCTGCCCCCGCTCCTGCGGCCCCTGCCCCTCCCCAGCCTCCTCCTGCTGCCGCCGCTCGCCGAGCTCACCTGGCGCTGCCCCCTCTGCCCCAGCAGCCGCCGGAGCTGGCGCCGGCGCCGGCGGGCGCTGCAAGGGCAGCGCCATGAGGTCAGCCACCGATGGAGGCAGGCCGGTGCCGGTGCCGGTGCAACCGCTGCCGCCGCCGCTGCTGCTGGGCTGCTGCAGGCGGGCCAGCTTGCGAGTGGCCTTCTCAAGCGCCCAGTAAACCAAGTGCTCTGCTGTGTTGGCGGCCCGCAGCAGCGAGGGGGTGGGCGCGTCGGGCGGGACGGCCCGCGGCGGCGGCGGCCGCCGCCGCCGCCGCCGCCGCCCGCTCCAGCTCCCGCCGCGCAAACTGCACACGGCAGAGCAGGCGGCGGGGGCAGACTCGGCATGCACGGCAGGCACAGCACGGCAGTGGCACCCAAATCTGAGCTACCGAAGTCTGGGCCCACCCTGCCCCACTCTCTGGCACCAACATCCTGCCTCGCCATCCCCAGCCACAGCCGCAACAACACGCCACACACAACACACAAGCCCACCCCCCCGGGCCTCCCTCACCTTTTCGTGGAAGTGCGCCCTGAGAGCACAGTCAGTGGGCCCCACCAGCTGCCAGAAGGCGGAGGTGCCCAGCACCAGGTGCTGGTCAGGCGCCGTCAGGCCGTGGTCGGCGGCGTGCGCCTCGCACACCAGCGCCCCGCTGCCGCCTGCGGGCCAGGACAGGGGTTTGGCGGGTGGCAGAGGGGAAAGCTTAAAGTGTGTACGGTGTGGCTGAGCGCCGGGCCGGGGTGCTCTCAAGCAGGGTGGTGCCGCAGCATATCAGCGGCAGGGGGCTGCACTCAATGCAGCCGCTGTGTGGCAGCCCTGAGAGTACAGCCCATCCCACCCCAAATCCACCCCTGGGACCCCTCCCCCTCTCCCCTGGCCTCGCCTGCCTGGCGCTTGGCATCCATGAACCCCAGAGCCCGAGTCACCTCCGCCTCGCCGCCGCCGGCCGCCGCGGCCGCCGCCCCCGGCGGCGTGCCCTCACCCGGCGCCCGCTGCTGCAGCCGGACCAGCTCCTCCCTGTTCCTGCGGGCAGCAGCGGCGGCGGCGCAGAGGCACACAACACGTACCTCGGTCCCTGCACCCTCACACACCTGTGCTGCAGGCGCCACGGCAGCCGCTACCTAGGCTGGCCGCAAGCATCGCCACGTAAACGAAACCACAGCAGCTGCTTTCTTTGGCTCCCTCCCCTTCTCCTCTTCTTGGCCAGCCTGCCTGCCTTGCTGCTGGGCTGCCTACCCGCGGGTCACCTGGTGATGTGCTCGCTGGAAAGGAAGAAGCCCTGGGGCTGCTTGGCGTTGAAGGAGCCTTCGATGCGGCTCAGCAGGCAGTGCGCGGCGCCGACGTTGGCGCAGTACGCCCGCCCGCTCCCCAGATCCAGCAGCATTAGCACGCAGGAGGCGCCGCTGCGGGACTTGGCCTGCAAGGGGGGTGGGTGGGGCAAGCGGGAGTGGGGCAGGGCGGCATGGACACTCTCCGCTGGAGAGAGCGCTGCCCGGCGTATGAGGGAGGCGGGCGGGCACGTGCAGAAGCGACGCAGGTGGGGAGGAGGCCATCCCGGGTGCATGCGATGCACGCGGCGGGCCGCGCGGCTCAGCAGGCTGTGGTTTCCCAGAAGCATCGCTGGATGCCGCAAAAAGACAGATGCTGCAGCACGGCAGGCGGCGGTGCAGGCCGACGGGCACTCGCCACGTGTGGCAGGCGGTCGGCGGCAAAGATGGCAGCGTCCAGGCGGGCAGCCGTCTCCTTGAGGGCGTCCAGCGGGGCGCCCACGTGGCGCACGCTGCACTCTTGGAACAGCTGCAGGCGGTGTGCAGGCAGGTGCCAGCAAAGGCAAGGACAAAGGTTCGATTTGAGGCGCAGGCCGGCTAAGCACAGCGGCGGGTTGGGCAGCACGCGGCAGCGGCAGGTGGCATACCTCGAAAACCTTGCTGCGGCAGAAGGCCGCCACGGCCCGCCCCTCCTGGCCCAGCCCCTCAAACAGGGCGATGAAGGCGTTGCCGCCGGGCGTCTGCTTGACGAGGAGCGGCGAGGGGTCGGCGCCAGGTGCCGCCGCATAGCGCGCCTGGCTGACGGCCACTTGCAGCGCCCCGGTCGGGCTTTGGATGACGGGGTGTAGCACCCGGTCTTTCACGCCCAGCTGGTCGGGCTGCTGCCCTGCACAGGTGGCCCTGGCCGAGGGGGCCTCCCGCGTTGCACCCCCGCTGAAGCAATTCCCCATGCTTTGGTGGCTCCGGCGATTATCGGGCCTACCACGCAGCAGCTGCGTGGGCGGCAGCTCGCAACAGCCAGGTTTTGAGACTCGCAGTACAAGAACGTCCTGCTCTGTTGGAGCCTTTCAGTTCGGGCTCTCGCCCGGCATGCCGCAAACTCGTGCATGCACCGCCTAAGGGCGGTGTCTGCTGCGCCCGTGGCTCTTGCGCCATTCTGTGGCAAAATGGTGGCCGCGGTGCTCAGCCTTCCGGCGGGCGCCACAGCGATCGGTAAGGAAAGCCCGAGGGCGACCCGGCTGCGCAGCAGCAGCCGCGCCGGGCAGCTTCTGTGCACCGCCCCGCCGGCGGGTATGCACCGCGGGCGGCGATCTGCGGCCGTCGCTGCCCGGCAGCGCAGCACGGGGCGCAGCACTTGGCAGGAGGGCCGTCCATCGGGTCCCCCGCTGCGCAGCCGAGCCGGGCGCAGGCCCCACCGAGCCAAGGAGCCTTTCGATGCTGAGGTGAAGCCCTGCCGGCCCGGGGTGGCGCCAGCTGGCAGCGTGTGCCGCGTGTCCCCCCCGGCGCAACACACACCACTCACTGCTACCCCTGCCTGCCTGACTGCCCCCGCAGCTCGTCACGCTGTTCGGTGTGCCGGTGCTGGTCCTGGTGAGCCCCGCATATGCTGCACGGTCGCGGGCCGCTCTGTCGCCTTGTGGCATTGTTTCGACGCACACGCTCGTTTTGCGCTGCCGCCGCCCCTGACTCGCGCCTCCCCTTCCCCTCCCTCTCTCCCTCCCTTCCTGCCAGGGCGTGGCTTTCGCGTTCAACGAGCCCAAGTCCCTTGCCGTGGCGCTGCCCATATGCCTGCTGCTGCCCGGCGTGCGCGACGTGCTGCTGCATGTTGCGGTCGACATTTTTCGAGGAGCTGCCAGGGCCCGCCGCTTCGTGTCAGACTCGGAGGCGGAAGACGCAGAGGACGCCCGGGAGCAGCAGGAGCGGCAGCGGCGCCAGCGCTGGCAGCAGCAGGCCAAGTGGAGCCGGCCGCCGCCGCCGCCGCCGCCGCCAGCGGTGAGCGCCGGCCGCCGCCGGCCGGGCTTCGCCGGCCCGTGGCATCGCCTGCACCGTCAACTTGTCTCCACGTTGTTGCTGCGCTGCAGCTGTGGCCCAGGCCTAGCTCAGGGCGCTCTGGGTTCCGCTCGGTTTGCCATTGGACACCGCGCAGCGCTCCACCTTGCTCACAGAATGTGTGCGCCGCGCTGTGCCACCTGCCCCCCTGCAGGCTGATTATGAGCTGCGGCGGGGGGAATACAACGTGTACCCTCCCCCGCCAGGCACGCCAAGCTCGCCCTTTGCACACGGCTGGCCGCTGTCTGTCCAAGTGCCGCGCTCACCCTTTGCCGACGGCTGGCCTCCAAGCCCCAGCAGCGGCCCGGGCAGCCCCAGCAGCAGCGCGTACCCGCCCCCGCCAGACACGCCAAGCTCGCCCTTTGCACACGGCTGGCCGCCGTCTGTGCAAGTGCCGCGCTCGCCCTTTGCCGATGGCTGGCCCCCTGGACCCACCCCCAGTGCCAGCAGCAGCGTCAGCTGGCAGCAGGCCCCGCCAGGCGGCAGCCGGAGCTGGCCTGCTTCCTCTGACGCCGCTGGCGGCGATGGCGGCGGCGCTGGCCGGCTGCGGCCCTACGGCCGCGCCTCTGCCACCCCGCCGCGGCCGCCATCCAGGGGTCCCGGTGTGGCGGGCGGACACCGTGCCAGCAGGCTGGTGCGGCCCGCCAGCAAGGCGCGGGTGGGGCTCGACGTGGGCGGCCGCAAGGGCGGTGACGCCACGCCGCTGCTGCTGCGCCCCATCTTTGCGCTCGTCCCCTTCCTCAGATGGTGGGGAGGCTTCCTGTAGAGGCACCCGATCGTCCAGAGCCACCGAGCCTGCCCTTGTCATTGCCTGCCTGATTCTCAGCAGCACCTGTCCGTCCGCCAGCTGTTCCTCTGCTCGTTCCGTCTCCTCAGTTGCTCCACCCATGCTGCTTGCCGCAGAGGCGCAGTGCCCTATGCCCCCACCATAACGGCCCAACGCTGGTCCTCCCCATTTCATTCAAAGCCCATGAAACCATTCTTATTCTGACTGTCTCGAGCCCCCAAGCTGTCTTTCCAGACTTGCCTGACCCTCTCGCCTTGCCACGACTAGATTCTTAGCCCTTACCACCAGAGCTTACCACCACAGTGCACCCTGGGGCCCCTCCCCCTGCTGCCATGCGCCATTGCATTTATCTCATTCTTGCATCCTGTGCACTAGCCTCCCCCTAATGTATGCTGCTGTGCCGGCTCCTATTCCAACAACATACATGCACGCCACACGCACGCCTATTCACTCAAGGCTCACATTCTTCCGAACGCTTTCACAACATGAAATGTAATACTAGCATTGATCGCTGGAACGAGCCAGGGGGGGTTGGTTGGTGGCAGTACAACCATGGCAGCTGGGACGGCACCAACATGAATTCAGCAGTCAGAGTCGTCATCAGAGCTCTTCCTTGCTGCCATCCACCACTGCGCCATCAGTCCCAGCAGCCTCCGCTGGCTGCTCCCCTGCTTCTGCCTCGCCATCCGCGTCTACAGCGGCAGCGCCCTCTGCCTGCTCCTCCTCCGCCTGCTCCTGCGCCTGCTCCTCAGCCTGCGCCTGCTCCTGCGCCTGCTCCTCGGCGAGGGACAGGTTGCAGTGGTTGGCGGTGGAGAGGCAGATGAAGTCCGAGGCGGTGTCGGTATCTATCAGGCTGTTGCGCAGCGCATGGGACAGCTCATCCTCATGCCTGCGGTCACAGCAGAAGCGAGTATGACGGTTGCAGGCAGGTCCGCCGCAGCATCTCAGGAGGGATGGGGGCGAGGCAGCGCTGCCACCCGGCAGCCCTGGGCAGGGAGGAGCGTCGGCGCACAGGCCTCGTCTCCGCCCCTGTCCTTCACCAGCCCCTTCATGTGCCCAGTCCTGTGCCCAGCCCCACCTCTCCAACACATCGTGGCAGTAGTTTGTGAGCTCCCGCCGCTGCTGCTTGGTGACCTCGACGCTGGGGTTCTTCCCCGCAAAACGCGACCCTGCGTCCAGGAACGAAGGCCACATCCCAGGGTGGGCGGGACGGTGTGGGCTGGCAAGGGGTGGGTGTGGCTGCGTGGGGCGTGGGCGTGGCAGCCCCCGTCGCCCCATGCCGGGCCCACTGGCGGCGCTGCGGGGCGCACCCGAGAGAGCCCAGCGCTGCGTGCCGTTGCCGTCGTCAAACAGCTCATACTTGCTCATGGCATCACATAGGTCATCCAGCAGGTGGATGACCCGCAGTTCGCTCATCCTGCAAGGGAAGTTGTATTGCAACGCAACGCAGCACTCACTCGCATGCGCGCGGCGCCGGGGGCTGCATTGCGTGCGGGCAGGCAGCGGGGAGGCCACCAGACACGGGCCGGCCGGCTCAGCGCCAGCAGGGCAGCAGCACCTCACTTGTAGTCTATGACCTTTCCCCACCGCTTGCCCTCCTGCAGGCGGCAGCGGGCAAGGCACCAGGCAGCGGCGAGGGCGTCACGAGGGCACGCTGGGGCATTGGCCGTGTGCCAGGCAGCAGCGGACAGCAGCCGCTGCAGCAGCGTGTGGTGCCACATACGCCGCCCGGGCGTGCGGCGCAACAGGGCTGCACAGCAGCGCCTGCCGGCAGGCGGCTGTGCATGCAGCTGGCGCGCCTTGTCGAGGCGGTGGCGCATGTCCAGATGGTTGCGGGGCTGCTCCGCCTCCAGCTTGACCACCAGCTCCGCCTGCAGAAGTATAAGAGGAAGACGAAATAAGAAAACACATGGATACATGGTTTGTACTCGGCTGTGTGCTGGGAGGAGGACGCGGTGTCCCAGCGCCTGGCTGCCGTGTTAAAACACGTGTAAAACGAGGGGGAACAGAGGTGCAGGTCAGCCTGGATCGATCAGCCGCCGCCGCTGGCCGCAGCTGCCCGCCTCCCCGCCACCTGCGTCGCCGCCGCTGCAGCTGCTGCTGGCACCGCGGCCGTGGCTGCCCCCTGACGTGCCGCTCTCCCTCCCCACCCCACCCGCAGTTATGGTTCCACAGCGTTGCATCAAACAGGGAGGAGCACGGCTGTACCGCCGCCACCACCCCCCGTGCCGCTGTTGCCAGCTGCCGCCGCTTACTCACCGCGACTGCACGGCACGCGCTGCAGCGTGCATGCCACCCCTCCCTGGCCAACACGCTGGTGGAGCACCCCAGCAGCACGACAGCCGCGGTGGCCGCGATCAGCACGCTTCTGGACGCCATGAGTCGCCCTCCGTCCCGGTGGGATTCCAGATGAGATGGACCGATGTTCTAAAGCAAGCGCAATGCCGGGGGAGCCCTGAAATTACCTGCCGCCCATGGCCTTGCATCATCAGCGGAAGAAGGTAGAGGCGCTTGGACCGGCATGAATGGCCTGGGCTGCAGCATCGCGCCAGTTTCAGCAGCCCAATTGGTGGCTGGCAGCGCGCTCTCACAATTCAACGGCCTGGCAACGAGAGCCGCCCTTCAGTGACGCCAATTGTTAGCAATAGGCTTTGAGCTCTGTCCCAGCATCGCAGTGCGGCCATGGCAGCCTTGACGAGCCAGCGGTTGCAACATTGCAGGCAGGGCGGGTTGGTGGCAGCCCGGCCGCCACGCCTGGTGGCAGCCCCCCGTCGGCTGCCACGCGCTGCCAGGAAGCACCAGCTGCAGTGCAATGCAGTCGCCGAAGTTGAGGCGCCCTCCAGCCAGCAGGTGAGCCCCAGGCGCTGCAGTTGGCGGCGGCGGCACCTGCAGCGCTGCCGCTGGCGGCACTCGAGGCCCAGAGAACCTGGGCTGCTTCCCACACCTTTGCCCCGCCTGTGCTCCCGCAGAGCGGCGCCAAGGCCGCCGCCGGGCTGCCTGCTTACGACAAGTCTGCAAGCGGCGGCAGCGGCAAGCCCCGCATAGTGGTACTGGGCACCGGTGCGCCGCCGCTGCCCGGTGCTTGTGCCGCCCCATACCACTTTGCAGCCACTGCCGTTCATTGCCGTGGCCGCTGAGCGCCGTTTGTTTTCGGCCCGGCCTCGGGGCCAGCTTCCAGCCATGCTCTGCGCCCGCACACCCAGTGGCCAAATCCCGCTGCCCGCCTGCCTGCCCACTGCCTGCAGGCTGGGCGTCCATGTCGTTTGTGCGTGCATTTGATGAGGCGATGCGGGACAAGTATGAGCTGATCATGGTGTCGGTGAGCTGCAATGCGGTGGCGGCAACGTGTGTGGGCTGCATGGTGGCAGAGGGGACCTTTCGCGGTGGCGTGACCACCACCACCCCCGCCCCGCCGCCCCGCCCCGCCACACCCCCGCCCCGCCCCTCACACGCAGCCGAGAAACTATTTCGTCTACACCCCGCTGCTCCCTGCCATGTGCGCGGGCACCGTGGAGGAGCGCAGCATTGTGGAGAGCGTGCGGGCGGTGCTGGGCGGCAAGGGCAAGTTCTTCGAGGCCCAGTGCACCGACATCCTGCCGCAGGAGAAGGCCATAGTGGCCTGCTTCCCGGGTGGGTGGCCGTGCTGGCCTGGTGTGGTGGGCAGGCGGGCTGGTGTGGTGGGCAGGCAGGTGGGTGTGGCCGGTGGGCGGGCTGGTGAGGTGTGTGGACGGGCTGGTGCGGTGTGGTGCTTGGTGTGCCGTGCGTGGCAGAGAGCGCCGGGAGGAGGCGTGGAGGCGGAGCAGCGGCAGGTGGATGGGCAGAGGCTGGAGGTGTGGAGGAGCGGCCGGCGCACTGCGCTGCCTGCCTGGCTCGCCGGCGCCCCTTTGGCCGCCCTGCCGAGGCCGCCTGCCTGCCTGCCCGGCTGCAGAGGATGCCGGCTTCCCTGAGGCCTGCTTCAAGATCAGCTACGACTACCTGGTGCTCGGCGTGGGGGTGAGTGCCTGTGGTGGTGGTGCGTGCCTGTGGTGCTGCTGCTGCTGCTGCTGCCGCCGCAGCGTTTG